GGGGGGGTGGCGGGAAGGTCTACCACTTAGCAGGTGGGGCTGAGAACACTAGATGTCCCACAGGATGTAATCAAACCTCTCTACTATAGCTACAAGAACACTGATTCAACTTTTACGTTAAAGTTCAAAGCATTAATTGGAAAAAATAAAATCCACCTGCTGTTGGCAAATTTTTGAGTAGTTATATTCCCGGGCAGAGAAGAGGTTCATAAAATTAAAATTTCTTAATTTTACACTTTTAAACAATAAAATTTCTGTCCCTTGAAGTCTCCTTCATCTTGAATTACACTGCTTTTGATGTTAACATTGCCACACCCACACTGCCTTCCATTAGCATTTGCCTGGTACACCTTTCTCCCTTCCCCTTTTTAAACGTTAACTTGCTATGCACATCTCCTGTAAACAGCACGTAGCTGGACTTTAAAACACCAATCTGAAATCGTCCATCTTTCACTAAGCGACCAATTATAATGCCAGGCTGACTTCTCACTGCCATTACATCCATTTCTTACCGACCCTACTCTTTTCGTAAGCTTTGAGTTAAATTGACTTTGTTGTCTTTATGCCGTTTCCCTACCTTCTAGGCATTTAGAAGATTATACATCCTACCTCTGTTCTTTCAGTGTTTGCCTTTAAATTTTAATATAGATATTTAAACATGTATTTTTCTGTCAATATCATGGGTCAGTCAGTGATTATATTCTCTCATTGAAAAAATAAATACCTTTACAGTAACAGTTTTACTTCCTCTCTCTACTTTCTTCAACCTCTAATGTTAACATTAGCTAGTACTTTAATTTCAGACATGTATATTTTTTAACATCAGGCATTAACAATTCATTTCAGTGGCTTATTTGTTCACCATGATTTCTGATATCTCATGCTGTCTTCTTTCTTGGGCTTATTTTGTGAAAGTACGTATGTCTTTCAATCATTTTGACAAAGAAAATCTAGATTTGATGAAATTCCTAAATGACTATGCTTGAAACAGTTTTTATTTGATCTTCATACCTGAACACTGGTACAGTGGGTTCAAATAAATTTCCCTTAGTTGTCTTCTAGAATCCACTATTGCTGGAGAGAAGTCGGGCATCTGTGGAATTCTCCTTCTTTAGTATTTGGTTTTTTTCTGGAAGCTTGAAGATGTTTTTATTTTGGGTGTGTATTAAAATATACATCACATAAATCTGCCATTTTAACCATTTCTGAATGTATAGTTTGATGGCATTAAGTACATTCACACTGTTTGCAGCCATCACCACCGTCCATCCACAGAACTTCCCAAATACAAACTCTGTCCCCATTAAACACTGACTCCCTCCCCCAGCCCCTGGCAGCCACCGTTCTACCTTCTGTCTCTATGAATTTGACTCCTCTCGACACCTCACATGAGTGGAATCACAGGGTATTTGTCCTTTTGTGACTGGCTTATTTTATGTTGCATAATGTCCCCAAGCTTCATCCATGTTGTAGCCTGGGTCACAATTTCCTTCCTTCTCAAGGCTGAATAATATTCCATTGTATGGCTGGACCACATATGATTTATCCATTCATCCATCAATGGACACTTGAGCTGCTTCCACCCCTTGGCTACTGTGAACAACGCTGCCACGAACATGGGTATACAAATATCTGTTCAAGTTGCTTCTTTCAATTCTTTTGAGCACACGTCTAGAGGTGGAGTTGTTGGATCATATGATAGTTCTATGTCTAATTTTTTTGAGGAACTCTTTTTCACCTTGAAGTCCCCAAATTTTATCAGAATGTGTCTAGGAGTCAATGTTGAACATCATGCTGAACATCTGGGGGCCCTCAACTGATCTTTTCATCTCTCTACAAGCTTTCCTTCTTCTGTTTTGTTGACTAATTGCTCTGCTTTTCTTTTTTTCTTTGCTCTGATTCTTTATCTTTCTTCTCTCCTTTCAGAATTTCTATCAGATAGGTCCATTCTTCATCTTCTATGTTCATCATCTCTTGTAGTTTATATTTCTTTGTCTTTTACATACTACATTCTGGGAGAATTTATTGATCTTCCAGCTCATATATATTTGATATTCAGCTGTCTTTAATGTACTAGCCTAACTATCTGAGATTATTTTCTGATTTATGAGAATTCTATTTTTTTTCTGTTGCTCCTATCTATGAAATTAGTTTATGTACTTTCTATTGAGGTGAAATTTACATATGATGAACTTCACATGTATAATTTGATGTATTCTGACAAATGTACATACCCATGTACCCATGTACCCACTATACCACCAAGATACGGTGTATTGCCATCATTCTGGAAAGTTTCCTCCTACCCCATTAAGGTAAATCTCACTTCTCATAAGCTACCATTGTTCTGATATCTATCCCCATAGATCAGACTTCTTAGAAATGGAATCATACTCTTTTGTATGTGGCTTCCTTTGCTCAACATCATGTTTCTGAGGTCCACCCCGGTTGCTGTGTGTAGTAGTCCCCTTGCTCCGTTTTGTTACTGAGTAGCATTCCATCACTGGCCTCCCCGAGAAGTGATGGCAGACCCTTGTAAAACCTTCTGATCGGGAAGACGGCCTCTGGACAAGGAAAGCGGAGAACTGGCGCACAAACCTTGGGCCATATGCAAAACCCAAGTAGTGACTTCTCTGTGAGGGTGGGCACCGACTTCGACTTCATTCACCCTTTTAGATAATGGGGGCAGGACCCACATCTGGGTCCTTGCTGGGCCCCACGATGAGACTGCGGATGCCACAAAGCCTCGTTCTCTGTCCAGCATCCTGAGTGAACCGAGTGCTGGATTACAGACAACGTGTCTTGTGAACCGATTACCCATCTGAATTGGAGACCACGGACTTTCGGGTCCTCCGATTTTCTTTTGGACTTTTTACAGTTTCCATTTCCCTGCTGAGATTCTTCATCATTATGTAAATGTTTTCCTTTAAGTCCTTGAACACGTTTATGAAGCAAAGACTTTAAAAGAGCTAATTCCAACTTCTGCATCATCTGGGGTCTGTTCCTGTTAAATGGTTTTGTTTTTCTTGGTTATGGGTCATGTTTTCCTGCTTCTTCATTTATCTAATAATTAAGAAGTCTACATTTTGTTTCCTTCCTTTAAAGGGTGTTGAGTTTTGTGTTGGCAGGCAGTCAAATCACTAGCAGATCCATTTAATCCTTTCAGGCTTGGTTTTTTTCTCTGTAAGGGCACTCTATTTTGTCCTAGGATATGAACCTCATTCTAAGTGGTCTCACACCTAAAGTGTGTCCCTCCTGGGGTCGTCACAAGATGCTCAAGGTGCTCATGGGATCCCTCCATCCTGGCAAGGCCACAGTTCCACTGTCTCTCAGTGGTGTCAAACTGCCGATAGCTCTGTTCAGCTCTCAGCCCCACAGCGGCCACTCTCTGCAGAGCCTCTCAGAGTCTCACTGCCCGCACACAGTCGCGCTCTCAGCCAAGGATGACAAGGATCTCCCATGCTGACCTCCAGGTACTCCTCACCTTGAGCAGCTCCCGGACTCTGCCCTGTGAAGTCCAGACACTTGAACAGATCCCAGCTCCAATCGCCGCCTCCTTAGCTCAGTAAGACCACCATAGTCTGTTTAGGCTCCACATGCACAGTGGTTTAGTACCTAACCCAGGTAGAGAGCTGGGGCTCACCTGGGCTCACCTCAGGTGTTCCCCTCTTCTCGAAAATCACAGTCTTGTAATTGCCAACACCTGAAAATAGTTGCCTTGTATTTTGTCCAGTTTTAGAATTGCTATGGTGTGGAAAGGCAGTCAAGTACTCAGTACTCCACTGTATCCAGAAGCAGAATTCAACTGTAGAGATTTTTAGTTTCCTTCTGTTTCCTGTATCAACTGCTTCCTCACAAATTTGCTTTTATGTTTGAGACTGATGCCTGTGTCTTATTTTGGTTCTTATTCAGAGTGTGTTTACATTAGTGTTTTCAGGTAGAATGCTTTATAAATTTTAAAATACTTATAGCATAATATTAATGAACATGCATTTAAAGTTATGAATTCTTTTTAAAAAGTGCTCTAGTTTGTTTGTTTTTCTAAAAACACCTCCCAGGATTTTGATGATAAACTTACCTTCATAATCGGAAGAAGATCTTCTACTTTGTGTACCTTTTCCAGAGCTTCTCTAACTTCCAACAATCCTTTAGGATTATTAGCTCTTAAAAAGAGAAAGAGCAAGAGACAAAGAGAGAGAGAGAGAGGGAGATGGCAACTAAAATTAATACAGAAGTGTAATAATTAATTACATTCATTGCTATTACCTTTAATTTAAATAAATCATCCTCAATTGTGAGCAGCTCAATATTCAAAATGGTGGGCCAGAACAAAAGTTTCTAAATAATGGGATGGTTTAATCCTCATGAATTTGGGGCTGCAGATGACAATTAAGAAAATAGCAGCCCATCTAGAAAGTGAAACAGGGAAAAGCAGAACGGATTGACAGCCAGTGTGTATATATACATGTATGGATCTTGGTTTGGCCATGAAACCTTGATTCTCCTATGCCATCTCTGAAATTAGAAGTGATTTTTTTTTTCCTTTCTGAAGTCGCTCAAATGGAAGTATCCTGCTAGGTTTTTATACCAATTTTATATTTTCTTGGTGATAACAATCCATTCAGAATTCTTTTTCCCCCAGTGTTTTGTTATTATATCTATGCCATATGGCCTTTCATGTGAGAGAGAATGAACATGACGGCTGAAATCCTTAATAAAGAAATTCAAAGAAACGTCCTTCTCTTTAGAGAAAAGAGATCCGAAAAGTCACAATATTGTAAGATTAAAAGCACTCTGTGGATTTGTGAAGCTGTTAAAAGAAGGTTGGTAAGTCATTACTGAAAGATTTTATGATTCCAAACACCGTGTAAACATTTGATATACTTTGTTTAGTCTGTCAATAGGCTTAGTTTTCAAGTTTTACAAATATAACTAATGTAAAATATATCAAAGCTAGCAATTACTATGAAAAAGAAAACTGAAGGATTACCCGTGATAAACAAGAATTCTATCTTTAATAAAATGAAGAATCTTCTCAAAATACTCCAGGTATCTCATGTTAATCACCTGACCCCTGTAAGAAAAAAAAATTGAAGGATCTTTTTACAAAGGAACGTATCTGAAACAACATCTGATTTCCAAGTTAATTCAAAAGAACAATAAGAGAGCCAAGAGAATAATGTAGCAAAAAAGTTTGGAAAATGTGGTTGCTTGCGACCAATGAACAGAAGCAGCAAAGAACTGTCTTAGTAAGATGGTTCGTCAGCTCTTGCAGCTTTTTCTGGTGGGAAAGGCACCAAACTCAGCCCTGGAGATGCCAAAATGGGAAGAAAAATCCTTAAGTGCTTCTAGGCCAATTTCCTCTTAGGAAGCCCTTTAGTTTTTCTCCTCTCCCTTGGTTCTCCCTGTAACATTATCTGCTCCCGCTCCTTCTTGCAGTCGAGCTCACGTGTGGCCTTCGTCTCTGCCTGCTCTAAATATTATTTTACTCACATTTCTATCCCCACCTCCTAGTTTTAAAACTCTCCCCCCGAACTTCATGTACGGCCAACATGCTGAGGTACACACCCCACCGGCACACATGTGTCCAACACGTGCACACCCGACTGCTCCCTGGGTTCACTAGGTTCACTATCGACATCTCGAACCTCAAATCCACAGCTGTGAGCAGGAAGTCACGCCCGTACCCTGCACTGCCCCCAGCCCCAGCCCCAAACATGGCCACCTACTTTTTGTCCTATTGTCACCTGGCCGACTGGAAGGACCACACACCTGAGCCAGAGTGGGGACTGTCCCCCATGGCTCCCCAGGCTCTCCCGGATTTCCAAGCCACCACCAGTGCTCCTGAGTCGATATTCTCAATACCCACGCCGTCCCCTCCCACTCACTTCCACAAAGCTGATACTCGTTCATCTGAATTATTACACAACTTTCCAACCACTTCCCTTCCCGCCCGGGTCACCACCTTCTCTCAGCAATCCTGCCACCGACAGCCAAAGTGACCATCTGAATGTGCAAATCTGCTCTGCCACTTCTCTGCTTACAAGCTCTGAACAGCTCTCTGTCATCTTTAAAAAAAAAAAAAAAAAAAGCCTTAAATGGCATATAAAGTTATTTATATTTTGAAAGAAAGTTTTTATATTTGGGTCTCTGCCTGATTTTCAAGCCTCAATCCCTGACGATACTCTCTGAATTGTAAGCTAATCACCAGTCCTAATGAAGGAGTCATCCTTTCCTGACCATGCCTGACTCGCTTGTGCATCCATGCCTCATCCACCTCTCTGCTTCCCATCTCCCCAAACAGCACAAGCATCACCTAGAGGCTGGATTGGACACCCCTCTTCTGTGTCCCCCTGCGTCCTGTACACACGACCACCATCACTCTTAACACGCTACGTCGCAGTTTACCAGTCTGGCCTCACTAAGCTACGTCACTTATTGCACAGCACAACACATGGACAGTGGCCTTCAGTTAAAGCCAGCGGAGTCTAGCTATACATGCCACAAATTAGAAAAACAGGAACACACAAGTCACAAAAGGAAAAGAAATTTTTTTTCTAGGAAGTAAAAAAAAAAAGTATAAGTAACATTTCCATTAAACTTAATGTCAGAGTTGTACTGAAGGATACTTTCTTGATCAGGCTTCTGGAAGGAGAAGCATTTTAGACGTGACACAACTACCACATTTGTAAATTTTATCTAGAAGTAAATTCATGGCTCCCCTTGAAGCTGATGTTCTTTAACATCTGTTCATCATCTATTTCGAGGGTGGCTAAGCACATGAAGGTGGATAAGTACCCATGTCCCTAATGTGCAGAGCCTCTGGACAAGACAGAAGCTCTCCCCTTAACCTGGCTCACCCTTTCAGGAAGGTTAGCTACCAGAGTGTTACGGAGCCAACCCCTCTGGTTGTTGGGGTTTTAGAGATGGCACAGGGGAGTGCTTCCCCCACCACAATTCTTGTCCAAGAATTCTTTGAGCCACGGAACATAATCAGGATATTATGGGAAATGTAATGTTCTCCCTCTAATTACTTGCTATGATGTTTTAGGACCCTTTGAGAAGGACATCCTAGGCAAAAATCTGGCAGTCTTCCCTTCAACTGAGCTGTGCATCAAAGAGAAGAGCCAGAGGAAGGAGCATGGCATGTCCTGCATTTCTTCCTGCAACTGGATTAGCTGAAGTGAATGCAGGCAGAACTCCACAGGTACAGAGCTAATCTGTGTATGCCCTTGTCCAAAAGTCACCAGGGAAGGAGCAAGGGTCACTCACGGTCTCCATGACCTATTTGGAATAAACTCCCATGAAAATAGGAAAGATGCACAAAAGGTTCCTACCTGATCAAATTGATGTGGTTATTAAAACCTCTGCTAAGACTTCGTGCTGGCATTTGATCTAACCACAACACTGGCTGGTCTGGGTCGGCAATCCTATAAAACAGAGCTTGTTAAAGACGAAGACCTTATAAAACCTACAAATGCTCAAAAGCATTAACAATAAAACATGAGAAGTCTTTGCAAAAGCGGGGAGAAAGCAACTGCTCAGCCTATTACATCTAAAAATATGCAACACCAACCTGCACGTTCCAAATAGATGTTCCAGTTGGACCAAGTAGGAAGTCAGTACAGGTTTACTAGAAGGGCAGTATTTTTCTCATATAAATGAGTATCAGTGGTTTCTCCTACTAAATTGTAGCTGGCTAGGCAGGCACACACTTCAACTATCAAAGGACTGGTACACCGAAGTTCATTCAAAGGCACCACAGATCATGTTATGCTCTTTCAAAGGGACTGCTTTTTCTAAAACACTTCACTTAAAAAATATGCTTGGAAACTTGACAGCACTCAATCCCTATAATTCATAAACACTAGTTGAGTGTATTGCAAAGAATAACGATGCCAGCAATTTCTGACAAACTTGGGAGAGGAAAACGTAACTTATAAGGCCTATTGTTAGCAGACAAAACAAGATTCAAAACCTGTTAACTAAGGGGGAGGTACGGGCTTCCAGTTATGGAAACAGGTCACAGGGATGAGAGGCCCAGCACGAGGACCACAGTCAGCGATACTGTAACAGTGCCGTGTGGGGACGGGTGGTAGCTACACTCGTGTGAGCGTGGTGTAACATACACACTGGTCACATCTCTATGCTGAACACCTGAAACTCACGGAATACTGTGCGTCAACTATACTATTCCAAAACACCTGTTAACTAGAGGAGGCTTCTACTGTTTTACAATAACACTTCGAGTTTATTTTCATTTAAAGATTAGTCACCGTCTCCACTTTACTGCAATGTCGAACATGTCTCTCCATTGCATTAGCCGTGTTTTCCCATTCATTCGAACTTTCGAGTTGGTCCACGTACGCTGGACAGCTTGCATGACCTCCAACGCCGCCAAACCCATGGCTAAAAGAAGGAAAAGTTGAGAAAACAAGCATTTGTAAGTACACTTGAGACGAACTGATTATCACCCACTTTACACAGTCTTGGGGATAACTCCAGAGTCACTGTAGAAAGAATTGTTAAGTATTGGTAATTTAACAAGACCAGAGATACATTACAGTTGTGACGGTCCTAATAAAACTAAAATCTATCAGGGGAACATAGAGGCACCCCCAAAGTTGTCTCCTCCCAGCTCTGCCTCCTACTGATGCAACTGGAGGTTTAAATTCTCCCTCACTCCCACACTAAGCAAACAGCTCCCGTGGATGAACCGTCTGATCTGCAGTGATGACCTAAGACCTATATTCTGTATCTACACTATTGCAACAGCATAAAAGTCATGCTGGAGGCAGTCTTCTTCCAGAATTCTCTGTGAATGAATCTCTACACTTTTGTCTCGATCAAATGGAGATTCTGAGTCAACAGCACAAATGATTTTTTTTTTTTAAGCACAACATGGTTTGACAATCCTTGCTCTTATGTCAGAAATATTTCCATGTTCAGACAGTTTCAAAATACCTCTGTGTATTCTCTTGTTTGGCAGGAAACCAGGTGTCTCATATTGCATCAGTGATCCCAAACGATCAGCTACACAGATGAGCTCTTGTACCTCGGGCTTATAACTCTCAAAGTTCTGATGTAACACGTCTCTGGAAGAAACATTACATACATGGTAAGGACTTTTACGACAGATGTCTGGTAATCCAATTTCACCTGGAAAACAGTCACTTCCTCCACTGGAAAACTAATCAAGAAACCTATGACCACAGAATCTTCACTTCAGTGCTTGGCACCTAACCACACACAAATTGAAAGACGGAATCTTCGTGAGTGTGTGCACACACAATCATTTTCACATGCTTGAGAGTAACACTGATAACTGCAGTGCAATTCAGAAGATACCTGTGACCATTATTTGCTTTAAAAAACTTCCCCAGAATATATAAACTGCATGGACTGTCTTTATCAACATGCAACCAAATCTCTGCCCTATGTTCATCCCCTACCCCTGCCCCAAGTCATACTATACCAAGTATACTTAGAAATGGCCTATGTGACTAGTATGAATTGTTTAGCTGCCAACCTCCTTGAAGTTTGCATAACAAAGTTTGCAATTTTAAGTTATAGGTTGTGTAGAGGTCACCAAGACCACCCTTGGGTTCAGTAATTCACTAGGAAGATTCAGAGGACTGCACAGTTGTCCTCATGGCTGTGATTTATTACAGCAAAAGGACACAAGCACAAGCATCAAAGGGGAAAAGCTCCTGGGGCGAAGTCCAGAGCAAACCAGGCACAAGCTTCCATGGGTCCGTTCCCAGGGGAGACACAGAGGATTAACTCCCCTGTGTGAAATGCTGCCAACCACGGAAGCTCATGAGACACTCATTGCTCGGTTTCTATCGGGGGCTGATCATATAAGCAGCCACTAGCCGGCAAGTACCCATATTCCAGACACCCAGAAGGAAAGTAGGTGTTTAGCATAGACCATGTTGTTCGTACAAACAGCTTAGGTACAATGAGCCACTCGTCAACTCCTAAAATCCAAGTTCCCAGATGCCACCCAGGGGCCAGCAGACTTTTCTAGAGACAGCAGTGCAGGCCTGCCATGTTAATGCTCTTCTGCACACAGATGATTCTCTAAAAAGGAGTGGTAGAGAATATATATAACCTCTCTGACTAGTCTATTTTAATACTTCTGATTACATAATAATTGATACACACAGAAGCATACAACCTCATTAACCCAATTTAAGAACTAGAACAATTATGTCTATTTGTATGCTATCTGCTCCACCCTATCTTCCTGCCTCCCAGCAAGAGAGGACTTATCTTGAATTTTATGTTCATGATTCCTTTTTTTCTTTTTAAAAACTAGGTTACAAATGTATGTCCCTACACAATATATTCTATAGTTTTGCCTATGAACTTTATGGGAAAAATGATATGACATTGTAGTTTACTGACTTGCTGTTTTTTACTCAACTTTATATTTTCGGATTAATCCACATTGTCATATGGGTTGTTTGCTTATATTGTTGTACATTATCCAACGTGGGCTGGTATCACTTTTATCCATTCTTCTGCTCATGGACATTGGGGATGATTTTCAGTTTTCCATTTGAACAAACACTACTATCAGCAGTCTGGGACAGATCTCCTGTCAGACATGTGCACAAGTACAAGTTTCTCTACTGAATACACACAGCAGAATTGTAAGACTGTAGAATGTACAAATGTTCAATTTTTCAAGATAATCACAAACAGCTGGCCAAAGGGGTTATAGCAATTTCAACTCTCACCCGGCGTATATAAAAATTCTCCTTGACCCCCCCCCCACCCTTCTGGTCAATATTACTATTATCACACTTTGTAATATTTGTTCATCTCCCAGGTGAGAAATGGGGTCAGATGTATTTATGAACCAAATTTGCCATTCATGCTTTCCCTTGTTCACGTGTTTTGCACAATTTTCTACTGGTTATTTGACTTTCACCTTTTAATTTGTAGAAATTTTTCATAAATTCTGGATACTAATTTTGGATACTTAATCAGTTTACAGGTTGCAAGTACCTTTTCAGAGTTCTGGCTTAATTATTCATGGTTTATGGAGTCTCCTGTCAAAAAGTAGTTCTTAGGTTCAATGTCGTCCAATTCATTTGTCTTTCTAAGGTCTACGCTTTGTGTGTCTTAAGAAATCCTTTTCAACCTTAAAATTAAGAAACTATTCACTTCTATTTTCTCTTAAAATTTAAAAAAATGTGCCATTCATCCATCTGGAACTGGATCACAACTACACCATCATAAAAATCAATTTTGTTTTTATCCATATGACAACCTAATTGTAGCATTCCTGCTGGATGAGATCCTCTCTGATCTATGGTCCACCTTTGTCATTTATCTAGGCTCTCCAGATAAATCCTTCTAAGCTCTTTACTATGCTCCTTTGGTCCATCTGGGTATCCCCGCACCAATACCAACCACGCTGTCTTCATGACTATCTGAAGTCTTGCTGTCTGGTAGAATAAGAAATGTCCCCCTCCAAGCCTGGGCATCATCCTCTTCAGGAGTATCCTGATTACTCTTGGGCCTTTGTTCTCCCATACAATTGACAGAATTAGCTTATCAAGTTCCTCAAAAAAAATGTTGGGATTTGGAATGGCATTTTATTGAATCTATAATTAATTTGCAGAGAATTGACCCACTGATATTATTGAACTTCTTATTCTTGAACAGTATTTCTATTTGTTTTCCCTCAGTAACTTTCAATAACGTTTTATAATGATTTCCATACAGGTTTTGTACATTTGTAAGATATATTCCTAAGTACTTATTGCTATTTTAAATGGTATTCTTATTTGTTGCTAGTATACAGAAATGCAAATGAATTTTATAAGTATATTAATTACAATCCCACCTTGCTAAACGCACCATTTCTTATAATTTGTTTGTAGATTTGGGGGGTTTTTTGTAAAAAAAAATCGTATGAATTGCAAATCTATATAACTTTGATTTTTCTTCTGTTATGCGTTGTCTAGAACCTCTACTTCACTGCTGAAGAGAAGCAATGACTTCAGGCTTTTTGGTCTTGTTCCTGATTTTATTTTTATTTTCATTTATTTATTTACTTACTGCTCCTGATTTTAATGTGATTATATCTAACACTTCATTAATTAAAATGATGTTTGCTACAGGTTAACCATTTATCAGGTTGAGGAAACACAGCAGTCCTCGCCTCCCATCCACTTGTCACTTTTTGCAGTCTCAGTTACCTGGGGTGCTCTGCAGTCCAAAAATATTAAATAAAAAATTCCAGAAAGAAACAATAAGTTTTAAATTGCATACAGCTTTTATTATGTATATTGCTGTAATTGTTCTATTTTTATTATTAGTTCCCATTGTTAATCTCTTACTATGCCTACTCTATAAGTCACACTTTATCACAGGTATATATGTATGGGAAAAGATGTGGTACAGGGGGCCCAAACAGTGCTGGTGTTGGAAGCATGGGATGCTGACCTCCACTGCCCTGCAGTTGAAAATCTGTGTGTAAATGTTGATTCCCCCAAAACTTAACTACTAATAGCCTACTGTTGACTGGAAGCTTAACAATAACAAAAACAGTCAATTAACACATACTTTGTATGTTGTATGTATTCATGGTGTTCATGAATCATTCATACATGGTGTTCTTACAATAAACTAAGCTAGAGAAAAGAAAACGTTACGAAAATCATAGGAAGAGAAAATACATTTATAATACTCTATGGTATTTATCAAAAAAAGTCCACATAAAAGTGGATCTGTGCAGTTCAAACCCATGTTGTTCAAGGGTCAACCGTACTCATAGGGTTCAGTACTATCCATAGTTTCAGGCATCCACTGGGGGTCTTGAGACATATCCCCCACACATAAGGGGGGGGACTACTGTACTTTGGCCTTCCAGTTTGCTAAGAGTTTTAAAGTGTAAATGGTTATTTTTTTCTACTTGTTTTTCTGTATCTGTTGGCATAATTAATATGGTTTTTCTCCTTTAATCTACCAACTGGCAATTATATTTATACATTTTCTGAAGTTAGATCACCTTTTTATTTCTAGGAAAACCCAATTTGGTATGATATTATCTTTCTTATATACAGATGAATTTGGATTTTGTTTAGGATTCTTAATCCACACTTAAGAGTAAGAATGGCCTCTAATTTTCCTTTCATGTGCAATCTTTATCAGGTTTGGTATCACTGTTATACTGCCTTACAAAATGATTTAGAAATATTACCTTCTATTCTCCTGCAAGTTTGACAGAACACTTCTGTGATACCATTTGGGCTTGGTGATTTTGGGGTGTGTGTGTGTAAGTGGAGATATTTTTAAATACCAATTCAATATCTTTAATAATCACAGAACTATTCAGGCTTTTTACTTCTTCTCAAGTCAGTTTGATAAATTATGATTTTCTAGGAATTAGTCCATTTATTTTTTTTTTAAGATTTTATTTATTTATTTCACAGAGAAAGAGAGACAGCACAATCACGGGGAGTGGCAGGTAGATGGAGAAGCAGGCTCCCCGCTGAGCAAGGAGCCTGATGCGGGGCTCCATCCCAGAACCCTGGGATCATGACCTGAGCCGAAGGCAGACTCTTAACCAACTGAGCCACCAAGGCGCCCCAGTCCATTTATTTTTTTGGGTTTAAATTTATTTGTATGCAAATTTTCATGGCATTCTGAGCATTTTAATATCTGTTCATCTGTGATTATATCTCTTTTTAGCATTTCTAACAGTTTGAGCTTTTCAGTTACTTTCGTTAAAAAAAAAAAAAAAGTCAATCTCACCAGAAATTTTATTAGTAAAAAAAGACAAAAGTTTGACTTTGAAGAAAGTCTGTTTTATATTTAATTTTCATTAATTTCTCTCTTCAGCCTTATTTTCCCTCCTTTCTGCTTTGTTGTTTTTCCTACTCCTTAATTTTTATACCTATTGACTTTTTTTCTAGTATAACATTTAAAGACATTAATGTTTCTTACAATATTGATCTCACTGTATTCCACAAGTGTTGGTATGTGTTTTCATCTTTAAAGCATATTCAAATTTCCACTGTAGATTTCATCTTTAATCTACATTTTAATTATGTCTGCTTTTTAATTTCCAAATAAG